AGAAGATTCATAAAGGACTTTTCAAAAATATCTTTACCTCTAACTGCCTTGTTGGGTAAAGATGTGCCTTTCCACTTTGATGAGAATTGTAAAAAACCTTTTGATTTCTTTAAACTTAAGCTCACCACTGCCCCTATTGTCCAAAGCCCTGATTGGACCTTACCCTTTGAAATAATGTGTGATGCCAGTGATAGGGCCATAGGAGCTGTGTTAGGACAGAAAAAAGGACAGGAATCCATTGTGATATCTTATGCTAGTAGCACCTTAGATTCTGCTCAGTGCAATTACACCACCACTGAAAAAGAGCTATATGCTGTGGTGTATGCACTTGAGAAGTTTAGGACCTATGTTTTAGGGGTCAAGGTCACTATTTTCACTGATCATGCTGCCATTAAATACTTGATGGCTAAAATGGAATCTAAGCCTAGACTGATTAGGTGGATGCTTCTAATTCAAGAGTTTTTATTTGAGTTCAAAGATAGACCAGGCCTGTAGAATCAAGTAGCTGACCATCTTAGCAGAGTCTTATACTCTAACAACCAGACACCTTTCACTGGTTTATTCCCTGATGAGTCTTTATATGCAGTGAAAGTGTTGCCTTGGTATAGTGAGTTGGTTAACTATTTGGTTACTGGAGAGTTTCCAGTAGGCATGCCACAAGTTGAGAAATGTAAACTCAAAGCTCACTCAAGGTATTACTACTGGGAAGAACCATTTTTGTGGAGATTCTGTTCTGATTTACTCATTAGGAGATGTGTGGACTATCATGAAGTACCCTCTATCCTAAAATTTTGTCATACTTTAGAATCTGGAGGACATTTGGGTATTAAAAGAACTGTTCATAAAATCCTTGAATCTGGTTTTTTCTGGCCCACCATGTCTAAGGACACTGCTGAATTTTGTAAAAATTGCCCTAGGTGTCAGCAAACTTGTTCTTTAACTAAAAGAGATCAAATGCCCTTAACCTCCATCCTTGTTTGTGAGATTTTTGATATCTGGGGTATGGATTTTATGGGACCATTTCCTCCTTCAAATGGTTTTCAATACATCTTGGTTTTTGTTGATTATCTGTCTAAATGGATAGAGGCAGTGGCCACTAGGGATGATAACTCTCAAACTATGGTTAAAAAATTAAGAGAACTCATTTTGAATAGGTATGGCATACCTAAAGCATTGATTAGTGATAGAGGCACTCACTTTTGTAATAAGACCATGTCAGTTGTCTGTGCTAAGTATCACATTACACAAAGGGTTTCTACTGGATATCACCCTCAGTGTAATGGGCAGGCAGAAATTTCAAACAGAGAAATCAAGAGAGTCCTTGAAAAGGTAGTTAGGCCAGATAGGAAGGACTGGAGTTTGAGAATGGAAGATGCTCTATGGGCAATTAGGACAGCCTTTAAGACACCTTTAGGCATGTCCCCTTATAGGGTAGTTTTTGGAAAGGCTTGCCATCTTCTTGTTGAATTGGAACATAAGTCCTTCTCGGCCATTAAAGAGGTGAATTTTGAGTCTGACCTTAGTGGGCAGGAAAGGTTGTTGCAGCTAGTTGAATTAGAGCAACTTAGACTTGAAGCTTATGATAATTCTGTCATATACAAAGAAAAAACAAAAATATGGCATGATTCTCAGTTGAGAAAGAAAGAATTTCACACTGGTGACAAGGTACTTTTGTTTAACTCAAGACTGAAAATGTTTCCTAGAAAGCTCAAGTCTAGGTGGCTAGGTCCTTTTACAGTTGTCCATGTGTATGATTATGGTGCAGTTGACATTAGAAGTTGTGCTACTAACAAGTGTTTCAAAGTAAATGGGCACAGGTTAAAACTGTTTCATGAGGGTTAACAAGAGGAAGTTGTGGACAGCTTGAGTTTGGAAGCTGTCTGAAGAAGTTTGAGAAAGAGTCTGGCCAAGGACTTTAAACAGGGCAGCTACCTGGGAGGCAACCCAGTGTTTTGTTTTTTACTTTGCTTTGTAATAATGGACTTTGTAGACTGTACTAGCAGCATTGAACAGGGAAGCTGGTTCCCTTATGGAACTAGTGATGAACCTCTGTCCCCTACTTCATGTAGTTTAAGGAGAGTGGGGGGTGTGATGTGCTAGTTAGGAGGTGTGTTATGGTGATTGTGTGATTGGGACCAGACCAATGGCACTGAGGACAGTGCCATACCTTAAGTGTGGGGGGGTAGACTTGGTTGGTTTTAGGTTGTAAGCTTAACCCCATTCCCTCTAGACACAGTAGGTTGCATGCTCCCTTTAACCTTCAGTGATGTGTGTGCTTCTTTCTGGATTTGGGATTAAACCAAACCATCAATCATGGTCTCCAATTCTCAGCTAAGTTGTGGAGGACCAAGTATAGGAAGGGAAATGCTTCTTAGAATGTCTGAATGAATATTGCTTCTGTCTCTTATTCTGGAATGTCCATTTGAGCAGTGTACAGCTTTCAAACTCCCAAATTGAGTTGCACTAAAATTCTGGTGCAGATTTTTTT